TATATATATATATATATATATTTATATAACTGTTCTTCTCTCAGAGTGCACAGGAAATGGTTCTCTGTGAGGATTTGTCAAGACATGAGCATGTTTCAAAGTTCTTTGTCCCATTCCCGTTCTTTGCTCGATCACTCCCATTTTCACTTTCTCGTGTCTCTCAGGTGTCTCTGTTAGCAGACGGTCTGCTGGCTGGACAGGGGACTCTCCAGAGACAAGCTTGTTGGAGACATGTCTGGACGAGACGTCTTAAACATGGACGAAATATAAAAGGCCTGTAAGGAAATGTTAAAGTGAGCACACAAAAAGTACCTTACACTCCCAGCTTCATAATAACGGTAATCTAGAGCATGTGGCGACGTGATTCTTACCACCCAGTACGCGGTCAGTCCTCCCTGCAGGAAGCTGGTCAGGACGTCAGTGGGGTGATGGCGGTAGTCAGAAATGCGAGTGAGTCCTGTGTACACCGCTAACATCAACAACATGAACTGCAGCAACGGTCGCAGGAGCCGCGCCCCTCGCCATGACAAACGCGCCTGCAGGTAAAACTGCGCAAAGATAGGAAGTTTCAAGAATGATTAACATATGAGCTGATAAAAGAGTGTACAGACTGATAAATAAAGCTTACAGTGTGTGTGTGTGTGTGTGTGTGTGTGTCTGACCTAGCTAAACTTTTGATGACACATTTCCTGAAAAATCACTCGGAAGTTAACTAAATCTGATAAACCTGATAAACCATCCTCAAAAGACTAAATAATGTGCTTATTTTAGTTCAAAGATGCCAATAGTGTTAGTCTGTTATTATAAATAGCCTAAGAACAAATTATGTTCAAAAAAATGTTCTGTGTGATTTAAAATTGAATATTGAATATCAAAATTTCTGTGTGCTTTGTTTCTTAGAGTATCTTGTTGTTGGCTTAGAAACCTGCTAACACCAAATTGAAATCAGTTGTGAGTTGAGTTTTCTTCATCAAAGACTGTATATACCAAGATGGTGCACTCAAATTACTATGACTGGGAGAAGTCCCGCCTTCTAAATAAAAGAGACAATCGGCAATTGGTAAAGCCATTGCATCACTGCAACTGCCGTTATAAACTCTGGTTGTCCTGAGACTCACGCTTGGGATTGCACATGCACAATGGCTGGACCAACCCAAAATATACGCTTTTTTTAAAAATGCTATGCGATTATTTATGGGACAGTTGTGTCAGATTGTGTTGCTGACTTGAAATATGTTATTTAAATGTGAGTTTGGCTAGCAGTTTTTTAGAGTAGACTGAGTTGGTCTTGCATCCTGGAAATAGCTGCCTAGAGGCATTGCAAATATGGCTGCCAAGTGAATTAACTTTCCTTGAAATGTACTTCAGTGATTGCGTTGCATTACACAGAGCATTCCAAATCATCACTTTTGAGGCTACATTTCAGTTAGGATGCTGCCTTAAAAGTAAACACTAGCTTTGAGAACAGAGCCATATGGTGAAAAAAAAACAGTTAACACGTGTTAATGATACCACCCTGCCAAGCTAGCTTAGCTACACAACAAATTTTAGGGAGATGTATTGGGGTCAGCGGGTATTGGCTGTACATGAACTTTATGGATATTGATGTCACACGAGGGACCGTGAAACATTCCAGAATTTAAGGGCCCTGGTACCCCTCCCATCAGCCCCATCACAGGTGTTTGGCTTCCTGCAGTAAAGCCTGGAGCAGCTGGCACTTAGAGCCAAAGCATGTGGCTGCAGGTCAGGCATGCAAGGCAGGGCCAAGCCTGAACAGTGCAGCCATTGGCCGGGAAGGAAAGAAAAAACAGGCAGAGAGGACAAAAAGCCTGGCACGGCTTTTCTATAGGCTTTTCCCTCGCTCTGTTCATGTTCTCTCTCTCTCGCTCTCTCATGAGCGTTGAAGAGCTCTCCCGCTTCTAGAGCAGCCAGAGGCCCGTGAATTGAATCAGATGAATGGTAGAAAATAGCTTGTTTTTACACAGCGGGCTAATTTTCTTCCCTCTGTTCTAAATGTGATTGGCACACAAGGCAGAGTAAATTCTGATAAGGTTTGTGGGGCAGTTGAGTGAAAGAGAAATGTGAATGCTATTGAATGTCATGCTTTATGATCGTTTGCAAGCGTTTTGTCATTTTTCCCCTTTTTGTGCCCCTTCCCCAGGCCAATACAGTGAGCGAGAGAGAGGGGTTTAACTGAAAGAAGCCTGTCTATCTCTCAGCAGGCCAAAGCCCCCCACCCGTCCCAGACCCAACCCACAACTAAACAAGGCCTCCTCTGTCTTCAGCTAGCTTTCACTCGCTCTCCCTCTCTCCGCTCATCTATTCATCAGGCCTCTGGAGAACATTCCCTCTTTCACTCAAGCCTTTCTTTTCTGCTTGAAGCAAGATGCCTTTTGAGAGTTTTTTGCGTTCTCAGAGCCTTCTTCTTTCAGTATGAGTGTATTTGTGTGCATTTGTGTGAGTTGAAGTTTGAGAGAGTTTCTTGTCAGTAGGAATTTTTTGACATTTTTCCCACATGGCAGGGATGGGAAGTGAAAGCTGACAACAGAAAAAGCTCCTCACCGGCATCCCACAGCAAGCACAGGCGTTTGGCGCTACCCTGACGTGTGTTTGAGTTTGCGTGTTTGAGTGTGCATGTGGTAAATTTGGCCACACACGGCGATACTCACTGCCAGGTAAAGCATGGTGTACATGGCGAAAGATGCATGGCCCGAGAAGAAGGACTTTCTGTTTGAAAAAAGCAGAAGGGAAATATTACCAACTAAATGTCATAATCTCGCAAATCATTAAACCGCTGCACTGCTTTATGGGCCATAACATTGTCTGCATGATGTTATATTAAGCAATCACAAGCATGCATGTTATTCTAAGTAAATTCCTTTTTATTTCCATAAAACACTCTATGTGAGTAGTCAAAAAAACATCCAACATTTGCACTTGAAATACTGTAACCTTAACTAATCATACATTATAGCTCTGTTCCAAAATCTAGTGAGCCTCCTACTTAGGCAGTATCACCAGATAGGGTTGTTCTAAACACTGTTGCGTTCCATTCTAAAGTTTGGTTTGGAATGACCCTTCAATATGACTGCCACGACTGTTTTCACTTTGAAGTGCCTTTTGGAGGCGGATTTATCCTGTTTGGAACATAGCGCAAGATATCTTCTTTTAGCCAAATTTTTAAGAATCACAGCATTTATCCTTCATAGAGTAGACAAATAATACATTACGACAAGCTGACCCTTGTGATAAAATGGGCTTTGTGGTACTGAATATGGACTTTTAGCATTCTTTAAATCTTAAAACTATATATATTTTTTTTTAAATATTGCATTGTTAGCTTAGCAACATGTTAAAGGGGTCATATGATGATTTCAAGTTTTCCTTTCTCTTTGGAGTGTTACAAGCTGATTGTGCATAGATAAGATCCCTGAAGTTGCAAAGACTAAAGTCTCAAAACCAAAGAGATATTCTTTATCAAAGTTAAGACTCTGCCACGCCCCCCTAAAACGGCTCGTTCTAACACGCCCCCACATATCTACCTCACTATGTGGAAATATTAGCATAATGCGGCCCAAATGTGCACGCAAAGAAAGAAGGCGTGGTTTCAGTAACCGCAGTTAGTGTTGAAGCAGCATGTCAGGGAGACCTGTGTGTTTCTAGGCGAAAGCAGAAGCACTTTATTTAGCCTTCCGAAAGTAGATGCACTTAGGAATCTTTAAGATTACTTACAACAGAACAGCAATGCATTTTATGGACGACCGTTTCGTGAACCTAGGAGAGGAGGTAATTCTGAATTTGCTATGACAATCTGGCGCTTCTGAATCAGCTACTGTTTTGTTATTAGTTTAAGTATTTGCTATTGACTGTTCAAATACGGAGTTTTGCGCAGCGCAGAGTAACGCGGTGTGTGTGTGTGAGGGGAACACGTTCACATCACAGGAGAGTGAACTGCCTGTCAGAAATCATAGCACGTCAGCTGTCTTAACCGCGGCTTGTGTACTGCAGACACATACCAGCTTCATCACTGTGTCTGTCACGAGACTCTGTTCCCCTTTCGGGCTCTGTCTTTACATTTATACAGATGAAGCTCGCGATTATGGTAAGAGGCTTTACATTTCCGACGAGTGCTTGCGGTGTTCGGCCAATCACAATGCACTGGGTCAGCTGGCCAATCAGAGCAGACTGCGCTTGTCGGAAGGAGGGACTTTGTAGAAAACGAAGCGTTTGAGAGAGGCGGGGCATAGAGGACCTACAATAATGTACAGTATTTGAAAAATAATGTGTTTTTTGAACATTAAAGCATGTCAACATATTCTGTTACACCAAATACACAAAATAATGATCTTTAAAAAAGCATCATATGACCCCTTTAACTTTCAGAATGAACACGACAGCACGCTTCAAATGACATAATGCTCTTATTATTCTCCTTCATTGCTCAGGATGATCAAGTAAAAACATGCTGAGTGCCAGCGCTAAAAGCCGCGCCGATGTGTCACTCTCCACCAGATGATCGGCTTGAAGAATTATGAGCTCGACTCCGTCACGCGGCACGACGCCGTTTTTCACGAGCAACTTAGGTTTCTATTTTCAGGGAGGCCAAACGAAGACCGAGGCTGATCAGGCGTGCATAATACCCACGAAATAAATCCATTCCAGACTGTGAAATGTTTTCCTTTAAAGCACAGCTTTCAGCGCAGATAATGCTCAACAATATTTCAAGGAGGATTGCGCTCCGCTGTTATCCTATAAACGTCTTCTGGGGTTATGAGGTTTAACGAGAGCTATGAATATATACAGTCGGGCGCTACAGAGCTTATATTCCTTTAAAATGGGCTCCGGCTACTTAACAGAATCTCATTTCATGTCGTCTATTGTTTTATTAGTGATGTTTGCTGAGGCGAGCCTCACTATTACTATTGCGCATATTCGTCTAACCTTAAGCGTGGAACTCATCACGCATTGTTTGTGCCACTTCAAATCTTGCAGCTTGTTGAAGAGACGTGTGCTATTACTTTCAAGCACTCAGACCTATTATTTTTGCCTTGTGGATGATAAAATGGGCAAACAAACAAATCTTACATTGAAGGAAGAGACGGGAAGACATAACGGTTGGATCTTTTGGATTTGCCATGGTTGTATGTTTGGTAAAATGTAAAAATTTAGCAGTGTTGACACTGAATCTGGCGAATGGCGTCTAAATTTAGACTACTGGTGTTGTTTCTCATAACAGAGATATTCTGATCATTTACAAGTGATAAACGGAGTGCGTCTGGCCTTTTTTTCTAACTCCGCAGGGAAGGCACAGATGGTATGGATAGAAGTAGAAAGAGAATTATATCACCGTTTTTTTTCTGAAACAGAACTTGGCTTTGAATTCACTTTGTATCAGTGCCGTTATATCAGCTCGAGGTAATAAAAAAACAAAGGACATAACATAGACAAATCTTTTTTTTTTTTTTTTTTAGCATTACAACTGCAGCCATCATGCAAATTATTTACAGTGGGATCTAAAAGTCTGAAAACATCAGTGAAAATGTTTCTAGTTTGCATTTTTCTAATTTAATTAAAGGAACAGTTCATACCAAAAAATGAAAACATCCTCTGCAGTGAATGGGTGCCGTCAGAAAGAGTCCAAACAGCTGATAAAAACATCATAATAATCCACAAGTAACATCTTGAGAGGTGAAAAGCTGCATTTTTGTAAAAAAACAAATTCATCACCAATGGATTTTTTTTTTGCTTCACAAGACATTAACTGATGGACTGGAGTGGTGTGGATTATTGTGATGTTTTTATCAGCTGTTTGGACTCT